CTAAATAGATAAAGGAAATAGTACGATAAGAACTTATCGTAAAAAGGGGACGTGAGTTTAAATATCTGTGTAGTGTTGCGAAAGTTGTACATGAAAACTTTCCACATTTGAGAACCGGTAGTTTTATGCAGCAGGAGTCATTGACCTTTCCCTTCTGCTTGCCTTCTACATTTCTCTTTATAGATCATTAGAAAATTCTACGCTTTGTTGTTAGACACCTCTAAGAAACGTGACTATTTCTCAGATTATTATTTAATTGAAACGTTAAGAACACCGAAGGAAAGCGGGCAGGACGGTAAATAAATAACTTTGTGACTCCAGGCTCTGTCTACGAATGAAAAAGAACCGTGATTTCAATTCGTGCAATTACAACAATTGGGTATTAAAAGATACACAATGAAGATTATAAATGTAGACCTTGAAAGATTAAGCTCTTCCGGCGGTTACAGTATTCGATTGTTCGAACTGTAAATCGAATTATAATTGAACATTATTTAGATTTATTTGTTGTCAGACTGAAGTTAAAATTTATAAGCGAAATTAGATTCTAATTATAAGAAAATTATTTCTAGAATCTAACACGAGTTAGAATCTCTTTCATTTTGTACAGATTAATTAATGCAAATAGTCATTTTTTACTTTACGAAGTTAAAATTTGTAAATAAGATTAGATACTGGTTGTAAAAAAAATTATTCCTAAAATATAACACGAATTAAAATATCATTCATTTTGTACGTGATATTTAGTACAAAAATATGTAGTTATTCTTTACTTTATTCAGAAATGATATTTATTCTTTATACGAAACTAAAAGTTATAGTCCGAAATGTGTTTAGAAGAATATTTTTACTGAAAGCTAGTCGATAAATTAAAACTGTAATTTGTAACTGTAAATCCACTGTAATTTCGAATGTTTTCTTTACCCAAAGAAATTTCAAATAGACAAAGTAAGCTAGTTGAATTCGTGAATCGATTTGGCCAAAAACATTTAAAAATTCATGGAATTAAGAACTATTGAAAGTTACATATTAATCATCTTATATATATCGTATTTAAGCATTGAAAGAAATAGATAATGATTTAACTTCTTCAGATTAAATCTAAATTCAGGACTGAGGAGGTTAAATGGACTATACGCGCGTTCTTGCAATGTATCCTGGCCAACTTGTGCCAAAAACATCAAATTTCAAGGCATTGGTGTTATAAAAGCCTACACTGCCTCTCATCACCGTTACAAAATAATTTGATACATGCACAGAAGTTTTACACTCATAGGCACAAGCAAATTAAGGCCTGGTAAAAACGTAATCTAATATAATAAGATAACGAAATCTAACACCTATTTTCTTATCGTTATTCGTATAGTGTATCGTAGTATCAATGTCACTGATACCAATTAGACATCCTCAAAACTGAATCATCTTTCACTGTCAACTTACTCTTTGATTCTTTAATTCAGATTCCCACGAACAACTTCGAATAAAGAATGAAGTATAAAGAGTTTCTTACCCGAAAAATGAGAATTCTAATTGCATCTATTTCGAATTATAGAATTAAATATTTTAGACAGAGAACAAATGAAAATACGCGTTGAGCATAAATCACTATATTCGATTATAATTTTATTTTTAATTATAAAAAGATTTGACGTAGAAATTAATTCCATGCCTTTCCATTTACACATTTCGCTCATCATTTTGTTTCGTCAGAGTATCAACCTTCTAAGTCAACTTAATCTTCGTTATAATGAATTGAAATACATAACCTGAGTCTCGACGTGATATACACGAAGTTTGATAGCTGATCAATTTTATTTATTGTTGTTTTTCTAACAGATTGCAAGTATACTTGGTAATTATTAGGCGTAGAACTTAATTTTGTACCTGTACGTTTAACTATTTACGAGTCTAGTTTAATTAGAAAAATTTATCGATTTATTTGTTATGTTAAAGTACCAGCCTTTGTAGCAACGAAATACAGGGTGTCCCGAAAATGTTGTAACACTTTGAAAAGGGTGGTTCGGGAGGTGATTTGAAACAATTTTTTCCTTAGCGAAAATGTTGTCCGAGGCTTCTTTGAGAAGATATTAACGGAAAACACTGACCAATCAGAGCACGAGTATGCCGGTGGAGTGCCGTCAGTAGGCGTGGTTACGCGATAGGCGGCCACGCTCATACGCTACCACGGGCGCTCCAATGGCATACTCGCGCTCTGATTGGTCAGTGTTTTCCGTTAATATCTCCTCAACGAAGCTTCGAACAACATTTTTGCTAAGGAAAAAGTTGTTTCAAATCACCTCCCCAACCACCTCTTTCAAGGTGTTACAACATTTTCGGGACACCCTGTATAGTGATTGATTTCGTTATGTTGTTTTTACAACTATATGCAGGGCCGACGCAAAGCAGGTTCGGCGCGTTCGCCGGAACCCGGCCCCTAGGGGTGTGCGGGATTCCGGTCGTGACGGGAATTCCTCCCGGGATCGGGATGGAATCCCGAGAATTTCAAAATCCCGAATACATCCGGGATTCCCGAGAATTTCGAGATCCCGTAAATGTTCGGGATTCCCGAGATTGTCGAAATCCCGTACATTCGGATTGCTGAAATTTTCAAGAATAACACTTTCGGAAATCCCAGATATTATTCTATATCCCGTACATTGTCGGGAATCCCGAACATTTTCGAGATTCCGTACATTCTCGGGAATCCCGGATTTTTGCGGAATCTCGTGTATTCTCGTGGATCCCGCATAAACTCGAGAATCCCGGATATTTTCGGGAATCCTGGACATTTTACGGAAATCCCGAATATTTTCGAGAATTTCGGGGCCCCGCGGTCTACGAAAATGTTGATTAACTTTTTACGGAATGATGATACTAACAACAGATGCAAGGCATTTTTTTATTAGCGATGATTCAGTTTAAAAGAGTGACAAGAATCATCAAACTATTATTATTTAATATTCATCTTATAAAAGATACGTAACAGCATTTGTAAATAAATAATTCCCCGTTGTAGAATTTAACTGTAGGATTTGAATGTGAATTCGGGCCCCGCAAAAGGTCACGCCGGCCCTGACTATACAGTGGATGTAAAAAGTATTCGTAC